TTTTTTCGCGAAATTTTGACATTTAACAAGATGGCAGCCAAAAGTCTCGATTGGGCTGGATCGGCAAGGAAATTTGAATTTTCAAATTCTCAACAGCCGATTTCGCTGTGGTTTTCGCTCAATTTAGAAAGCTACCAGGCCAGGTTAACCCGGAAAACAGGTATTCCGTGTTCCTCTTGAAATTAGCTTTCCGCTGGTACCTCACTTTGCCAACCTCCTCGCAAGAACAGTTTGTTCCGCGTTGCCGAAGTCAAGCCTTCTTTCTCGCGCGTTCCTTGATTCATCGTTGACATGCCTGCCTCAAGAAGCCCTTTCAGAAGTTTTCCCAGTCTAGCTTTCAGTTTTCCCAGGTAGAGGACTATCTTCTGGCTATATCCACCAAGTTTTATCACGTCCCGTGCACAAACTTCAGGTCCCGTGCGTGCGATGCAGAGCTACCTTTTCATGCGATTTAGGGGACAGATGGCATGGCGCTGGAGTCGCTGTTGAGTCTAGGAGGCCGAGGCCTGGTGGAATCTGCCCAGTAGACATGTGGGGTATTGCTGAAAAAGGCAGCAAGCACACAGATAGCCCCGAAATTGTGATGAAGATCCAATTGTGCGTTTGTTCGAGTGCATATCGGCAAATTTGAAAGTTGCACCCGTGATCCCGAAGAGGAGAAGCTGAAAATTAGTGCGTGCGTCAGTAACCATACTACCAGGGATAGCTTGGAGAGGTTCGAAAAGGTCAGGATGCTGGTTGACCATGGCAGGAGTTGCTTTTACCTTCCTTCTCTCTCAAATTGTCTGGATATTGAGTATCTCGCTCGAGCGCTTTCAAATAATAAATCCTGGTTTGACTTGCCAAATCGTGGAACCACACGGAGAGTGACATGGGTTTCATCCCAAAACGCAAACTCCCATCGTATTCATGAGGTTTGTACCGCGTTACGTAAATCGCACTAAACGACGCCATATTGTTAAATGTCCGTGCACGAACAGGCATGGGTGCGCGTTATACTCCAGCAAATACGGTACCGTGAATCCCGTCAACTGTGAATGGCGATAACTGTGAAGGACATTCGCACTACCAATCAACTAACGTTACCGGTACGTAAGTTTTGGAGCTCTCACCGCAGCACTGAGAAGGGATTTTCCCTTTTTCCCAGCCTGAGTACTCTTTTTACTGCCGGAAACATTTTACTGCGGCAGCAGTCGCGGCAGTAAAACCTTTCCCCTGGTAGCGTGCCAGCAACGTCAAACGATCAAATCACCTTGGAAACTTTCTCAATCGGTCCCTCTTTATCAGTAGTCTGAACGCGCCCTAACTGGCTATCAGCTCTAGCACTTGGATGCGCACTCCAACAGCCATGGTGTTAGTGAACATTATAGCGTAATTTGTAGCTCCTTGATCCTTTTCCGTTCTATAGATTTATCCCTGGCTCTCCATCCGAGTAAATAGGATTGAAATAGGAATAGGAATATCTGGCTTTTGAAAGTCTGATTTTGGCCGAATTGAGGATCAAAAACCCAATTAAAACCTTTAAAAATCTGGGTTGGGTCTGCTTCTGCCTACATTTTGCAATGGCATACCCGTCCTAATTTGGTTAAACCTGGCTGTATTTCTATTTCTCTGTTCTTGGACCTTTCTGGCCTCAAATTTGGCAAGGAATAATTGCACGGGTCACACAAGCATGTACTGTTGTTTTCACGATTATCTGCAACTACATGTATATGCGAGAGACAGCAATAAGTTAAGGGGCCAGTTTTCTATGAACGGACTGTAGTAATCTTAGCTTTTATGGTCATGGTTCCAAGCCTTTCAGGTAAAATATATTTCTACTAGTGGGACAAGCCTCTTCTACAGGCAAAATAAACGCACTGAATTCCAGGCATATATTTTACCTCTTTTCCCAGTACAGTCAACTTCGCTAATAACGACTGCGCACGTAACGACAATTCGTGAATAACGACAGATTTTTTTCATGCCCAGAGCAAAGTCCCATCTAACTGTGACACATATAATGAGACTTCGGGTATAACGACACTTCGCCAATAAGGACACTTTTCTGATGCCCCGCCGAGTGTCGTTAGAAGCGAAGTTGACTGTACACAGTTACTAGCTCGGTTTGAGTAATTACCTCCAAGTTGGCGTGCTTTATGTCCACGTTTGAGGACATCCAAGAGTGTGCGTGCTTAAGTTTGCTGGTGTTTGAATCTGCATGCTTGTATGCTTATGTGCGTTGACATTTTTGTGTGTGCGCGTGTTTTTTTCTGCATGTCTGTTCTTGCATGCCTGCATGTGTTTGTGTTTGCGTACATGTGTTTGAATGCATTGGAATTTTTTGTTCAGTCGTCTGTTTGCGTTTGCATTTGTGTGCTTTCGTACATTTGCATTCGTTGTGATGGTGGCGATGTGGCTGGTGAAGTCGAGGTGAAAGTCCAAGATGACTCCAATATGGTGGTGGGTCGTGACATCAGACACGTCATATTCCTACATACTCAGGTGCGGGGTCGGATGAGTAGGATGGGCATGTTCTGCTCGACTTCTAGGAGAGACCTGCATGGTGCAAGATTTTGAGGGGTTGAAGCATCCTCCTCCGACTGAATGAGCCGACTGCAGAATGGCATCAGTAGCGGCCTGGAGGAGGTGGACAGTCGGTTGTTGGTTAGGTCCTCCGGCTGCTCTCTCTTGAGTACTGTGATCAGCAAATAGGAGCACATCAGCAGTGACATCAGATGGTACGGTGCGAGAAGAAACGAAAAGAACGAGGGCAAGGTGATATCCCTGGGGATAATTGGGTAGGTCGGTGACTTGGCAGAGAGAACTTTGATACAGAAGGACCGATCCTCGAGGTACTTGGAGAACCAAGAAACGGCTTCAGGGGATGAAATCTGACAGAGAAGCACGGTGTGCGGTACCTTGTGAAGCGCTCTTGCGAAATCCAAGAAAAGAGCGTTGTAGCCAGCGCCTTGTCGAGTGCTTTAGCCACTCTTGAAGACCGGACAGTTAGCTGATCAAATGTCGGATTGCAAGAGACTGGTGCTGCTGCTGGTGGTCAGTAATTAATTCCTGCCCACTGAGGAAGCTGGTAGAGTGCTCGGCGATGATGGCATCCAGGATCTTAGCAACAGCCGGCAGCAGGGAGATGTGCATGTGGCTAGCTGGCTATGCAGGTCTGCCGTTCTCTTCATAGATAGGTATGGCTGTAGCCGACTTCCAGTCATTAGGTAGCTGTCCAAGTTGGAGACTGGTGTTCAAGAGGTTGCACAGGGACTGCGTGATTACGGGTGCCATTTCTCTCAGTATTAAGTTCGTGATATCCCCGCCCAATGATAACCCAAATTTGGTTATCGGCCAAGTCACAGAGGTACGTGTGGGAGTGTCATGCCTTGGGGCTAGACATGTCAAAGGCATTTGACACCATCAACAGAGCCAAGCTCCTGGATGTTATGAGCTCGTTCCTTGGCCGCGATGAAGTCCACATGATACAGCATCTTCTGTATGGCACCACCATATCTGTTCGTATGTGCAGCTCCACTTCCAAGGCATTCCATACCACCATCGGCACGCCCCAGGGGGACAGTCTAAGTCCCGTGCTGTTCGTCTGTTACCTTGAAGCCGCCCTGCAAGAATGTCGCGCAAGACTCCCAAGGTGACCTATAACTGATGGAGGCATCCCTCCAGAAACCGGGTACGCTGATGACATAACGTTCTACTCTACCAGTAAACCTTGGCTCGAGGAATCACTACCCGTCATATCCTCGACACTGCAGCCTTGGAACCTAAAAGTAAATGAGCAAAAAACGGAATGGGTGCACTTTACGTCAGGCGATTCATCCTGGCGGAGCATCAGGCAGCTTGGCTCTCTTATGGGGGGGGGGGGGCGCGCTGAGGATATCGACAGTCGGATTTCGCTGGCATCCCAGGCATACGGTAGTATGTGCAGCCTCTGGCTGCGGCGCAAGCATGTGTCAGAAAGGTCCAGGCTCAAGCTGTACACCTCGCTTGTGCTGCCTGTCCTCCTTTACAACTGTGAGACTTGGGGAGTACCCCAGGCAGGCCTTCAGCGCCTGGATTGTTTTCACCGCCGATAGCTCAGAAACCTGGTGGGAGTGCGATATCCAGACAGAATTACGAATGATGATCTGTATTCCAGATGTGGCTCGCAGCCACTGTCGGAGCTTGTTGCCAAGCGATGCCGTAGCCTCACTGGCCATGTGCTGAGGATGAGTGAGCAGTCACCCCCTTGCCTTGCGATGTCCTGCTATTTTCAAGCAGGGTCACGTGGACGAAGGGGCCGTCCCGCGGCTACTCTCCCTACCACCATCATAAAGGACCTGGCAGGGCATGACATCCCTTTGAAGAATGCCAGCGACCTAGAAGGAGCACGAGCATTTGCTGCAGACAAGTCGAAATGGAGATCAGACATTGTTTGCAGATGAGTTTTTGTTGACTGGAGACAGAAGCGGACTTGGCTTAATTTCAGTGTATTCTCATGCATTGTTCTTTGGCCTTTGTATGCGTGCTGTGGTATTATTATTTAGTATATCCCCGCCCACTGACTTGTGCTTGGGCAGAGTCTGAAACTTGTGGAAGACTTCGTGCTGGGTTATGTTTGGCGATTGAAAGCGGAAATCTAGTGGAAGCTGTGCTGGCGGTACGGTAGCAGTACCTGGGGTGAATGATGGATTGGGGGCGAACTGAATTTTGAAGCTATGGGCCAGTGCTTCTGCTTTAGAGGGATCACAAGCCGCATCTCCAGAATCATCTGCCAGAGTTGGAATGGTCGCTCATTTTTTGCTGATTTGGGCAATTTTCTTGGCTTCAGCCCACCATTTGTAACATTTTTGCTGTGACTAATACGCGAGCAAAGCTCTTCGAAATAGAGGGACTTACTACGTTTTTAAAAGGTTTTAAGAGCATTTTTCACCATCTTATTATGTTGTTTGTTTGCATTGACATTTTTTTCGTTTTTCAAACACGCAGCAAAGCAACACCGAACCACTGTCATCTCTCCCACAATGGTTTTCAGTTACACTGACAAGGAACATGAAATTCCTTGTAATACTTTGGGCTCACCAGGCATGAGTGTCACTTGGACATCCACTATAAGTCTTACAACAAAGACAATAAACACAACGAATGGAGCATCTCCAAATGGACAGTTGGAGTATGTCAACTCCACTTTCAGTTTCACCGGGAAAGATTCGGGTATCATGTTTAACAGGGCCCACCCAGCTGGCGCTATGTTCAACCTGACCTGCACTACTGCCTACCCGACCCGTTACAAATGTAGGTTTGTAGAAGGTCAAAATCCACAGCCTCCGACAGGTGTACTGGACCGATGTGATAAAGCAGTTGCACCTTTGTCAACAACGTACACCATCAGCCTGCGAGGTAATGTTCTTAGACAAACATAATCCACAGTCCGTTACATTTAAAAGAAAGTAGAGTAAACTTTGTGTATAACGACACTCGGCTCGTCAGGCGAAATAGCACGTCATAGTACATTTGAGATCAGCGGGACGAAGATGACGACGTCCACTAATTTAGTATCTTTGCACACGAATCTGCTGTGTGTGTGACTCTGTGTGTCAGCTATGATATCATCTTCTGTGGTTCCATGCCTAGCATGTACGTCTGAACCATCCTGCAAAGTTTGAATGACGTAGGTTGAGCGATCGCTCTGCGAAACATACTTTTTGAAATTCTCTTCATAGTATATCTTCCACCATTGAAATTTCGAATTTCTTGCTGAGAGGGATGGCTTGCAACCTCGATATGGCTTGTTCCAGGCATGCTTTGGAGCCATCTTCTGTTGAAGTAGTGGTGGGGATCTGCCCTACAACTGCTACAACAAAAAAATGATTCGATCTGAGAAAGGGTGAGACCGCGAATCTCGGTTGAATATTGGGTATTTCAAGCCTTTTTACGACGAAGATGGAGTTCTTTTTGGAGATGGACGTCGCGGCAAAGGACATGGTGTCCGACTTCTGGCGTCTGGTGAAGCCAGGGATCATTTGTCCAGTCAGGTCGGCAGCCTAACCGTCGGTAAGCTTGTGTTTGGATCCCGTTCTGCTCGATGTGGTAGATCACAAACAACTTGATATCGCACAAATTGATCTCAGCATCGTGCGTACGGTATTTTATATTCAGAAAATCCCAAAGTGTCTCTGTGTGGCCGTTCTATGCCACGAGAAACTCCAATCAGGCTCCTATCTCCTCTGCCTTCATGATTGAATGTCCACTTTGTTTGAACAACGAACACAACAATCGAGGACGGCTTTGCAACGAAATATACGGCTATACTGGAGCTGAAGAAAAGAAGAAAACAACCTGCTCAGGATGAGACTCGAGTACACGCGTGCTCTCCCAGCAGGTGAAACGCAAAGTTTTGTGAAAAACGCGTGTCGCCGACTGACCAGTAATTTCGCCTGACGCGGCATCAGAAAAGTGTCCTTATTCGCCAATAATTGTCGTTACACCCGAAGCCTCATGGTACGTATACCGTTAGAATGGACTTTGCTCTGGGTATGGAAATTCTGCCGTTACTCGCGAATTGTCGTTGTATCCGTAGTCGTTATTAGCGAGATTAACAGTAGCATGATGTCACAGGTTATCCCTAGTTTCTCCAACACTATAAGCTAGTCCATCTGGGTCTAGTCCATTACAATTTTAAGCAATAGTTCTGTAGGTGCAATTGAAGAGCTGCAATGCAAAACCCGATAAATCCATTTCATCACTTTCCCCCGAAAGGGTATTGTTCATGTGCAGTTCGTATCTGAATCCCTATCTGGTGTCCCGTTTTGAAATGGTTCTAGTCGGATTTTGAATGTGAAATTATGCCTGGTTGTGCCTCTCGATCTTTTGATGACACTGAGCAGAAAATCACATTTTATCAAATTTTACGTAAATGGGGTTTTTGCATCTCAACTCTTCACCTGGGATCCTATTTTGAATGGTTCTGGTCAGATTTTGTATATGAAATGTTCTCTTGTGGATGACCTAGACCATTAAATGTTGATGACACTAAGGTGACATTTTGATTTCCTCAAAGTTGGCGCTTTCGCGGTCAGATTGCCGCGAACCCCGTCAAACTGCGAATGGCGCTAAACTGTGAGGGACATTCGCACTACCGATAAACTAACGTTACCGTTGCGTACGTTTTGCAGCTTTCACCGCGTCACTGAGAAGGGATTTTCCCTTGCTCCCAGCCTGAGCACCTTTTTTACTGCCAGAATGCAGATACCACCACAGCAGAACGCAAAGCAACTTTCCACACAACTTGTGTGGCTCAAAAGATGCTAAGATCAATAAAAGTGTAAAATATGCGAACAAGAATCAAGAAAACCGAACGCCTCAGTAAAACAGCACTGTACTTCAACTATGACAATTAAGATAGACAATACACAGCGGTAACAAGCAGCAGTTTCACACGACGTTCATTTCTCGTGAATCGTGGTTTGACCGTATTGCCCAATGGTCTTGCCGGTATCATCATCGACATGCATGAACATCCGTCAACGTTCTTCACAGCTGAGACTTTCAGCTCGGGCTTATCTTGGTTGCGCTCTCCTTCCCCTCTATATGTTATCTCTATAACTTAGAACCTTCCAAGTGGGAAGGCTGTTGGAGTGCGCATGCATTACGTGCTAGACCTGTTAGCCAGTTACCTGTAGAACGTCATTACGATCGGTCAGTGTCGGGCAATGTTATCGCATGAGCTGATTGTTCAGTAACTGGTGGTGTTAGTGGACATCATAGCATAACTTGTAGTTCCTTGGTCCTTTTTCTTTTTTTCTTTTTTCCTATAAATTTGTAAACAAGCGTTTCAGAGACAGCAGTTTTAATATAGTAATTATGGTAGCTACAAGGAGGTCTAATTGTACTGTAAACATTTCCTATATGTCGACATGAATGTGTAAAAAGTTATACGATGATCGCAAGGCACCGTGACAATGAAAGGGAATGAGAGGATTTGATCAGAACTGCTTTCTTGTTACATTCGTCAGTGAATCTACTTAACCCTTTCCCGCTACATGGATGTGCTATTTAGCCACTGGGCAAAAATGCTAAGAGCCTAAAAGTAAGGCAAATGGCCAGTTCCACAACTTTACTGTCCTGGCAAGTGAGCTTTTGGAATTTTGGGAAGCCAAGACTGGAGAGACTACCATCACATTGACTAACTTGATATAGCACCCAAAATAAGAAGCAATGCGTGATATTTCTGGCAAATTCGCCGAAATTGCGTAAAATATGGCAAAATCGGCAATTTTAGCTGAAACATCTTGCGCGAAAAAGTAAAAAAGAAAGACATTTCACGTATTAAAGCTGGATTTGTACCCACTACCTTTCGCACGGGGCACAGGGACTATACCAACTGGCCAGGAACGACTATACACAAAAGGGGAAGTCTAGAAAATGATTTTTTACACTATGACATGTGTATACGTCATTATTGGATGGGTCTTTCTCAATGAGGTATCTCATTAGCGGTAAAAGGGTTAATAATGGAATGGAGACTACAAGAAATTCCATTCACATTTCCTTCCGTACTTCCTTGCATATGTTCAGATTTGCTTTGTTTTGCTGATGCTGACGATTCACACACGCATACTGTCACCTGTTGTAATTGTCCCCCGCTGAATATGTGAGGTATAATCACCTTCTCGGTTTGCTCTTTTGCCCTTTTTTCACTTCTAGTTACCCATATAAGACTAGGTTCAAGTAGTCCCCGTTCCATTGTTACGTAGGTTCACTAATCAATGTAACAAGAAAACAGTTTTGTGCAAATCCTCTTTACAAAAGAGAAAGGACCAAGGAACTACAAGTTAGGCTATAATGTCCACTAACACCACCGGTTACTATACAATCAGCTCATGCGATAACATTGCACGACACTGACCGACGATACTGACATTCTACAAATAACTGGCTAACAGCTCTAGCACATCTTGGATGCGCACTCCAACAGCCTTCCAACTTGGAAGGTTCTAAGTTATAGAAATAACACACTGAGGGGAAGGTGAGCGCAACCAAGATAAGCACGGGCTGAAAGTCTCAGCTGTGAAGGACGTTGGCGGATGTTCATGCATGTTGAAGACGATACTGGCAAGACCATTGGACAAAACGGTCAAACCACGATTCCAGAACGCAAAGTAACATTTCACAAAACTTGTGCGGCTCAAAATATGCGAAGATCAATAAGGTCGTTACCACGCTGCATTTGTTTAAGGCGCTTTTGCGTTTGCGTTTGAGACTGGATAATGTTAGCTGCTCCCGGCTAATAAGGGGAACGAGCGGGAAATACAAATAGTGAGTATTCAGGTCGTAGCATACATACACCTATTACAATAACGCAAGACGTGATATCATACTATACTTGCTATTTTCAGGGTTTGCGTCAAAAACTGTGTGTGCGGGAAAAAAATTGGGGAATCGATCTCCAGGTGACCGTGGATGTTGAATTTAGTTTCCTGAGATCGAGAAGTGTTCTGTTTCTGCTCCTTTGGCCTTTGCCAGTGGTGCTGCGGGGAATGAGAGTCGATAGGAAAACTGCAACCGTTGCGTTGCGTTGCCTGTGTTGGGGTGGCAGTTCCGTTGTTGAGGCACATCGTCCAGCTAGGTTAGCCGCCGCCAACTAGTCAGCACAACCTCCGCCAAGGGCTCGCATCAGCTCTATGCCCGCGTTGACGGAACTCAGGGTGACTAACCAGCCGAACAGCTGCTAGTCACGACTCAACACTGGCCGTTCGTGCTCTCTCATCCCTCGCCCCATTCCCTCCTTCACTCCATTTGATGAAAACGGTTCACTCTCCCGAAGGAGATCGGGGAGAAACGTTACTTCTCCAAACAACTTCGGCGATGTCAATCAAAACAGGCAAAGAGGCAGCCATCAAGGTGCGTCAGGAGTACAGTAAATGTAGTACAGTAGAAGTACCCTAGCCGACCTCAGCAACTAGATGGAAACGAAGATTTGAAAAGCACACTTGAGAATCACTTGAAAACACTCAAAAACAATGCAGGAAGTGCTGCGATAAAGAAATTCCGATCTGCGTTTACGTGATTCGGTTTTGACCACCCTCCCCCCCCCCCCCCCATTCCCCTCGCCCCCCCCCCCCCTGGTTTGCGTCTGCGTCTGCGGGTGTGCGTCTGGAAACCAACGCGATCGCGATAACGTCACGTGATGACATTTCCTAGGCGACAGTCAAAAACCTAAGAAAACGCAGACGCCAACGCGACTTTTCAACGCAGTGTGATAGGGCCCTAAAAGGGGAAGCTATGCAAACAAGAATCATGAAAAAACCGAACGCCTCAGTAAAACAGCACTGTACTTCGACTATGACAATTTAGATGGGCAATAAGCAGCGGTAACAAGGAGCATTTTCACACGACGATCTTTTCGCCGTATAGATAAAGACGGTTCATCAGGTGTGCAGGAATGGACTCGGATGGAGATACAAGGATTAATTTATACAAAAGAGAAAGGACCAAGGAACTACAACTTACGCTATACTGTCCACTAACACCACCAGTTACTAAACAATCAGCTCATGCGATATACTGCACGACAATGACCGACGGTACTGACGTTCTACAACTAACTGCCCAACAGCTCTAGCACATCTTGGATGCGCACTCCAACAGCCTTCCAACTTGAAAGGTTCAAAGTTATAGGAATAACATAAGGAGGGGAAGGTGAGCGCTACCAAGATAAGCACAAGCTGAAAGTCTCAGCTGTGAAGGACGTTGGCGGATGTTCATGCATGTTGAAGACGATACTGGCAAGACCATTGGACAATACGGTCAAACCACGATTCAAGAACGCAAAGTAACATTCCACACAACTTGTGTGGCTCAAAATATGCGAAGATCAATAAAAGGGGAAGCTACATGACCAAAAAATCATGAAAAAACCGAATGCCTCAGTAAAACAGCACTGTACTTCGACTATGACAATTTTTATTATTGTATTCCACAAAGGACGAAATAGTTCTGTCCGCAGATTGAGTATTTTATTAATTTTTTACATATGAAGGGCTCCAATTCAAAACGAGATAAATCCATTTTGTGGAAATTTCAGGAAGTGCATTTTTCATATTTTCTTTTTCGTTCTGCACTGCAGCATCAGTGACATTTATCGCATTTTGGAGAAGAACACAAATTTCAGGCATCATTTTGACTGGGATGTATCGCATTTTGACCTGTAAAACCGAAAAGCTCCGGTTTTATCGAGTTTTGAATTACCTTGCTGCTCAAAGAAATCCGTTGGTGTGCATCAAGCTTGCGCCCTGTGCCAGTTAACATCCCCGCGTTCACAAGTCTAGGCCTACACAGCACTCAACACAACATTGACTCGCTTATTTGGATTTGATCAAACAATACACGGTATCTCGCATTTGCATGTATGGAAATCTCTATTCCAGTCTTTTTTGAAAAAAAACACTCTTGTCTTTTCAGCTCCATGTCCCCAGCTCAACGCATCCCTTGGTTACCTATACAATGATACGCTTTCCAATGACCCTGGAACTGTTCTTGGCATTTCGTGTCGTGTTGGCTTGACTATGGCTAGTAGTATGAGTAGCATTGACTCTATCTCATGTCAGGCTAATGGAATGTGGACAGCTCTTCCAAACTGCACAGGTATGCCATGTCTTATAATTTGCACAGCAGGAAGATAATCAGGTGCATGACGGTTTAGATTACAAACACATGCACACACACAGGCATTCATGAACATGCATGCACACACAAGCACACACGCGCACGCACGCATACATACACACGCACACGCACACACACACACACACACACACACACACACACACACACACACACACACACACACACACACACATGAGCACTGAAACGCACACTGTCTCACTTATGCACACACACACGCACACGAGATGATGAGTGCAAGTACGCTGATCAGCAATCCTAATGTATCAGTTGAGATACGATTCAAGTGTTGGAACTCACCATGAATCAATCTCCACCGTGGAGTACCGGTGAAGCAGAATTGGGATCTGTACTACGGGTTTTTCTTCTTCTTGCCGAATATTTACAAACATTCTATTCAAAAGTCTTTCTGACGTAAGACTTGATGAATTCCATGTTGTTGCAGAGAGAATGGGAAATACTCAATCTGCTCTAACTTAAAGCACTTCCTATGAATATAGCTGCATGAAGCGGTTACCACTGCTACTAAGTCGTTTTTGTTGTTTTTGCTTTCTGCTAGTGGTTATGTGCACTGTGCCAACACTCATGAATGGCAATGCAGACAAGACAATGGTGTCCTATCTTCAGAGTGTGAATTACACGTGTAATACTGGTTATAGAATGAATGGATCTGCAACAGCAACGTGCAGTGCTGATGGAACTCTACAAATGCCTACTTGCAACAGTAAGTGCCTGACTGCGATGAAGTATGAAGTCGAGCTCTGCATGATGGGAGGATTATTCCTTCAAACCCCAGGGGGTGTAGCCACCGGTCCGGATCCCAGGTTTTCGGATAACTGACACGCTACTCTCTGTATGCATAGACTGCTTTCAATGCGTGCCTGCTGATCAACATGATACGCATCCAACTGCTAAGACGATGTTTATGTTTTGAGTTCGGGTCTGGCTTTGGAAACTAACTTCGTTTTTTATTTCTACCAGGTTCTCTTTATTACTACATGCATTTCTGTTCTGTGCTAACAAGTCCATTATGTTGTCCGGACGGTTTCGTTCCTTAAAAGTTAAATAATTTCTAGGAGTCAGAAATCAACGCAAATGAAAAAGCTATTAAAATCCAGCAGGCTGTTTATTGTTACGTTCTTCTGCTGTTTTGGTTTGGGATCTCGTTTCTAGTTGTCAATTGTACCGTGCCAACTGTCGCCCATGGCCATGGTGACAAGAGAGTTCTGTCATACCTTCAACAAGTGAATTACACATGTGACATTGGTTATAGTATAAATGGATCTGAAGCAGCAACTTGCAGTGAGAATGGAACTTTGATAGAGCTGAAGCCTGTCTGCAACAGTAAGTTGTTTGATGATTGCTCTTTCAAGTATTTGTACTCATGACGCCCGCACCCACACCCGTGCCACCTTCCTCTTTGTCACCACTGCCACATGGAACTCCCTTCCGGCTGCCATTCGTACCGTATCCAGTCCGGTATGTTGTATCTATCTTGTCCGCACACACTTTGCTACCACCCGTCATCAGCCCCCTGGGTTCATTCCTAGTAGAGTAGCAATGTCATAAAGCACTGTGTTAATTTGCTGCTCCCCCCCCCTATTTTTATCCCTATATTATTTATTTTATTTTTCCCCTCAGCTTCTTCTTCTGCTGTTGTTGAGGGAAATTCCCTTGATATATGCGGAGGCCTGTAGAGAATACCTGAAAACTAAATACGAATACAAAGCCTGCAAAATTTAACTCTGACACTGAGCCCGGAATAAGAATTGTAAAATAGAGAGAAAAACCATATGGCAACGAGGTGTGTAGCTACTTTCCACGACTGTAGTAATCGTGAACCACCCAAGTTGGAAGTTGGAAGTTGGACCTCATACAGTGGAACTCGGATAAGACGTAGCACCTTGGGGAGTGGGAAAAGAACGTAGTATGCAAGATACTTCTTATCCACAATTGACCCTTGCGGCCAGTATGTGACAGGAGGAGCAATTTCAACTTGCGTTTTACAATGTCTCTCTTTGTTCTTATTCTGCTAGTTGTAAATTGCACAGTACCAACACTCATGAATGGCAATGCAGACAAGACAATGGTGTCCTATCTTCAGAGTGTGAACTACACGTGTAATACTGGTTATAGAATGAATGGATCTGCAACAGCAATGTGCAGTGCTGATGGAACTCTACAAATACCTACTTGCAACAGTAAGTGCAAATGATGTAAACCATGATGTAGTTTTAAGCATAATCTGAGAATTGTTCCTACTGTCCCCTCTACATTTACATAACGCAATGCTCGCTACATTTTGTAGTTTGAGCACTCTGGCGCTAGAGCGACGAGCTACCTTAATGTCTGTGGTGCCTCCTTTGCACCATGGCTGGTAGCTCGGCCTATTTAGCTCGTAGCTGTACTGATGAGGCCTTTATGGCCGAAACAGCTTGCTGTCTACAGCATTGGGTACATATCTAACTATATTCTTGGTGACACAAACCTAACTATATTCTGGGTGACACAAACCTAACTATATTCTTGGTGACACAGAACTAACTATATTCTTGGTGACACAAACCTAACTATAATCTTGGTGATACAGAACTAACTATATTCTTCGTGACACAGAACTAACTATAATCTTGGTGATACAGAGGCTCCTTTTTGGTATCAGGTGGGTGAAGGTATGGAAAGCACCGGAGGGAAGCGGAGAGAAAGCAGCGAGAGAACCAACACCTAATGGTGTGATATCAGTTTACTAACACCGGACATGGCGAAATTTCCAATTTCACTCAAAGTTGGGTCCTTCTACCCCTGAGTGGATATTGTTCGCCCGCTATGATGGTTTTGGTTCAGAGACCAAATCGCTTGGATATGGGGCAAAAATAAAAAAACGACTAAAATACGCACTGAAGCAAGGTACAAGAACGAGATGTCGCTGCTGTTCACAACAACAAAGCGCGGCCAAACCAACTATGTTCGCACACCGATCCAAGTTACCTAGTAATGTTTAGCCATCCAAATATCAACTGGCAACTTGTTGAGTCGCTCGAACGAATTGATCAATTCAACCTGTCCAAAGGCAGCCATTACGAAGGACATGTTCAAAGACCAGTAGCAGCGATGTTGCATCCTAACATTTGGGGTCAATAAAAAATAAAAAATCCAATCTGAAGAGCAATGTCAATAAAGCCGCTCATAACGCTAAAATCAAATCAATTCAGGAAAATTCAATTCACTTCAAAGTCGTGACACATCCGGTAAAAAACAGCAAGAAATAATATCTCGGTGCAAAAGAAGAAAAAAGGAAATAAAATGCCGCTTCATTTTAAAGGACCAAATGAAGAAAAGCAAAGAAATACCCACATCAGCGCTAAATTGCACCTTAAATTATAAACAAAAACATGATGCGTCCATTAGCATTGAGGACACTGCCATTAGCGAGGCTATACACACCACTGTTGTATCCGTCCCTCAGCCATGTCTAGTGGGCGCAATGCATTTACCGGTCGATGGTATGCAGAGCGAGCCCCTCTGATGCACATAACTGCAGCTCGGAGGAGTGCAAACGACAGACGGCATCTGACATAGGCCATAACCTCGCCGTAGGGCTAACATTTGGGGTAGACCACCATCATAGTCTGCTGCAACATGTCCCCAAGCGCCAACAAGTGGTCTTGAATAAAGTTATCCACTAAAATCACTTGAGGAACTATTATGCTAGCTGCTCCGTATACGAGAACCTTCTGGGCCATATTGCGTTATAGTTGCAGTCCTCGCATATTTGTTGCCATGGAGCAGTTCTTCTTTCTCGTCATGTTGGGCTGCGGTTCAGTAAGTGACGCTTCGTGGCGGCTTCACTCGAGTATCTGCGAGGGCAGGGATTACTCACATGTCTCCGGGCTGGTAGCGTAGCAAAGAGGCATATGGAGGCGCTCCGTGTGTGCCTTTTTGTCCCCCATTGGATTCTGGTAGTTTTAGCTACGTTTTTTATCTTGCTTAATCTAGCGAGCTGTCTCTTATAAAGTTATTATGCTTGTTTTCTCTGTTCCTTGCTCTTTTTCTCTCTCTGTCATCTCATTTCTAGTTGTCAATTGCACAGTGCCAACTGTCGCCCATGGCCGTGGTGACAAGAAAGTTCTGTCATACCTTCAACAAGTGAATTACACATGTGACACGGGTTACAGTATAAATGGATCTGAAGCAGCAACTTGCAGTGCAACTGGAACTTTGACGGAGCAAAAGCCCACCTGCAACAGTGAGTTGGTTTCACTCCTGAAATAAAACTCATTGCATTTTTCCAAAGATCTGTGATCCCCCTGGGTTAGAATTTGTAAACCGTCATTTTACGCTGTGTTCGGGAGGACCGTTCGTGTGTTTCAAGTCAGGGATATACTGTAAGATCAGATATTTTAACGTCACTTGAATTTAACGATCTTCGGATTTTTGTGGGTTAGCGCGGTGAATTTCTAATGAATTTTGCCTCAAAACTGGCAAAAAGCAGCACATGTACATATCGTTTAGTACATAACGACTTCAAATGTTACCTTTTTTTTTAATTCGTTAACTCGTTAGAATTAAATGTTCGTTAACATTACTGATTCTACCGTAGGGAAAAGATAACAATTCTACAATGGAGCATTACATCATTATGATGTACCAGGCATCTACTGTATACAATAGGGTATTGTAGTCAAAGATGGGACCATGGCATGAAATCTAAATAAGTTTTGTATATGAGCCGCGAAACGACAAAAGGGTGGTTATGTCAAGCTTTTTGAATGCGTTTTTTTTTGCAACAGAAGCAGTGAGAATTCAGCCCTTGCGCTGTGTCCATAAGGGCCTGGTCAGACTGCGGCAAATTTTGGTTGCCTGACGAAAACAGAACAGCGTCCAGAATTTGAATCGCGATCACACTACACATGTGGGGAGAGTGAAAATTCAAACTTCATTTTGAGCGTCAAGTGGCAATCTCCACGAACGACGTCAAATTCCTTCACCTTGGGGATCGCCAACACCTTCAGTGCAATCCTTGCAACCATCCTTATGAGTTTTGTTGTTGTCCGTGGCCAATTAGCTCCTCGATATCGAGATGAAAAAATCAGTGATTATCAGCGTCAATGGCGTATCAGCGTCAAATCCTGTTTGGAGCGGAAAAGCGTGGTCCGTTCTTGCTTTTTTTTGGAGCGTCAACTCTCGCTTTTGCCGCTCTGGCGGCAAGTTACTATGGAGATTCGGATTATAATCCTAGGATTATTTCGATTTTGCCGCAGTCTGACCAGGCCCTAACTCAGTTTGTGAACTTTTTGCCATAAGCACCCTTTTGTCATGGTGCGGCTCATATGCAAGTTATGTTTCCCTGACTCCGTATGAATCACTGAACCCATGTATGCACGGATTTCGGTACATCATGCAGTAGTATAATATGAAAGCCATAGGTGAAATGCCGAAATATGCGCCAAGTGCGCATATTTCTGATCAATCAGGGTATAACAAACAAATCGGATGAAAATTGGATGGTGCTCGTATACTGGAAAGATATGGACCTAACAACCTCGCAAGCGTTGTCTCAGTGCATGAAGAGCAATAACATACCATGGATGACACACCAGTGAGCACGATGCTCTTTTACGGTTTTCAAAGGTACCGAAAAAGTCTGCATGTACAATCATGTTCAAGACTGACACACAGTATACCGTGTAGAAAACATGTATGAATGACCTACCCGCT